CCTCACATCACCTGAGTACCTGTTAGTGCCACTGCCCCTGAGAACAGCCTGCGGGGAGTCTGAGCAAAGGGGCTGCACCCCTCTCCACAGCACGAGTAGCAGCCAGCTCCTGCCCCCCAGCCTGGCACAGCCTGCCCCTCTCCAACATGGGGATGCTGTGCTGGAGCACAGCCTGCTCGAGGCTGCAGACAGAGAGCTGTTTGCAGATTTGCTAATATTAGAACATTACACAGCCTGCTGCTAATGTGTTCATCCTGACTTTGTGTGAGACAGCACAATCCTGGTTCTGTGTCCTGTACAGCTTCCTGCCCACAACACCTATCCACGTCCTTCCTGTTCCTACTAATGACTCCCCGCTGGCTGTTGACCCAGCCAGTAGCTAAATCTAGAATAAGTCGATCTTAGCTTAAATTTCTCCCACGTTTGGTGCTGTTTTCAATTAGACCACTTGTGCTTTATTCCCTGAACAATTTAATGAGAAAGCTTTGCAGAGAGAGATGGTTTTAAAGCAGAGGAAGAGCAAAATGCATATAGTTAAAACAACATGAGTTTCTCCCCTGAGCCTCGACTCCATCATGAGCTGCTGCCCTTGTGCACAGGACCCAGTGCAGTGGGGGCATGGAGCAGTGGAGTCGGGCTGGATGAGAGCTTGGAGTCTTTGGGTTGGAAAAGACCTCTTTGTCAAGTCCAGTCATTAACCCAGCACTGCCAAGGTCACCACAAGACCATGTCCCCAAGTGCCACATCCTCCAGGGATGGTGACTCCACCACTGCACTGGGCAGCTTGTGAGAAAGTCCCCCCTGAGCCTCCTTTTCTTTAGGCTGAGCCCCCCCAGCTCCCTCAGCTACTCCTCGTCAGACTTGTGCTCCAGAGCCTTCCCCAGCTCCGCTGCCCTTCTCTGGACATGTTCAAGTCCCTCGATGTCTTTCTTGTCATGAGGGGCCCAAAACTGACCCCAGGATTTAAGGTTCCTCACCAGGGCTGACCAAGGGGATGGGCATGGACCTGAGGGAAGCAAGTGGATCCAGTCAGCAACCATTCACCCTTGGTCCCAGCGACACACACCCTAACACCACTCTGGAGCAGCAGTGTCCAGCCCTCGGGGAAATTGCTTAGACTGGGCAAGGACTATCGTAGGATTGCAGCTCTCTAGCATCTCATCTGAGCTGGCTTGGGAGGGGTTTTGCTGGGATAACTGGATTTTCCAAGATACCTTGTCCCCCAATTAATTTACAGCAGAGTGAACAGGAGATACTTGAACAGTATATATAACACATGCAATTTTGGATCCCATCTTGCAACACCTGGAACAGCCACGGCATCACAGGGAATTGCCACTCTGAGTGGGAATACTCTGCCTGCCAGAAGTCAAATGTCCCTGAACTTCCCAAGAGCAGGCAAGATAGTTTCCTAAACTGAAGCTATATTTATAACGTGTATGAGCAGATTATATATCACACTTGAAGCTTGACAGAGCAGCATTCAGTCTTAGAAGACCTGTCAATCACTTTGGTGTGTAGAAATGTGAGGTGAGTATATTTAAAACAGTACAGCAGAAAAAGTAAAATGTAGAAGACATGACATTCCCTCTGTACAGAGTCCTTGTAGGCACCAGCTCGACAGAGGGAAATAACTGAAACAGAAAAATATAATAATTGGATTTTTTTTTTTCAGGCTGCTTTACTGTTGGCTTAAAAAAATGCACAGTTCCACAGTCAGGAAAGGACTACCTGAGGAAACATGAAAAACTGAGGGGCAAGAAAACACTCCACAGACCAGACTGGCTAGGAGAGAAAATGAAAGCAGTTAAGAATTAACTGCTCCCCAGCCAATGTCTAACAAATAACAAGAGCTAGAAAACTGGCAAGGAAAGGAAGGAGGTTGCTATAAGCAACACAAGCATGTTGAGGAGCTGCAATACTAGCAAAGACAGGGTAATAAATATTTCTGTTCCCTCTTGGCAAGTGGTCATAATAGGTTCCCATCACAGGGTGCTGAAATACTCCCCAGCAGTAATTGAACCTGGCAATCAACAGAAACCCCAGAAACAGACTCTAATCATCAGAACCAGAACACTTTCATCTACATTTTCTAGTAACTCTCAGGCCAGCCAACACTGACTTTCCGTAAATTTTCAAACTCAGGTCTCAGGGCTGCAGGGGGATTTGCAAAAGGAACCAGGAGGACACAGGTAACTGCACAGCCATAAGCCTGATGCCAACTCAGGAAAATAATGGAAAAGCTGAAAAGGGATTATTTAATTAATGTCACGTGATGGCAGGACAGAGCTTTTACCAATGTCTTCTTACAGAAAATATGTACTTGCAGTGAAAAATATCAAGTGACTTTGATGAGAGCTATTTCTATAACCCCACTGTGATTGGCACTGTCTACCAGAGTGTCCCCGAATGCTCGACTACACACCGGAACAATACCAAATCAGAATAATGCTCACCAAGTGGGTTAAAACCCCATTAACTACAGCTAGAAAGGGAAAATCATGGCTGAGACAGTACCACTAGTGATGTGGAAGCCTTTATCACCCACCCTGTCTGGCAGGCTGGGAGAAGGCAAGCATCTGGCATCTAAAGCCATCTAAATATTGCCGTATTCTACCAAGGAAAAAAAGAGAAGCCCCATTTGCAAGCTGGAATCTCAGCCCTAGCTGAGAATGGAAGCTGCACACTCTCAGACTGGGGGCAAAGCATGCATTTCTTTTACCAGGCAATATAAAAGTGTTTGAATTGGCAGCAAGTCATCCACCCCACAGTGGGAATGTTCAAGTTAAGGCAAAGGCTTTCTCAAAGTTAAAGGTCAGCCCCAATGATAGGGCTAGCAGGAGCTTGTTTGCAGAGGGGAAGGGCACACTGTCTGACCACCTGGGCTCTCTGGGGTGAGACAAGGCTGGAAATGTTCTCTGATGGGCAGCTCACCTGAGCACAAAGTCACTGAGTGGCACCGTTGTCCCCTCTCATGGACTGGTACTAGTGTTTGCATTTCCTCCTTGTCTCCGTCACTCATGAGCTGATTCCCTTTGTGAGATTTGACCCCCAAACCTGGGCATCTCCCACACCACTACTAAGCACACAGAGCCCAGAGATTTCATGAAAGAGAAGAAACTGCTTTCACATCTCTCTTGCACTTCCCCACACCCAGCAGTCATAATGTCTGAAAGCTCCATGGCACGATCCTGAGGGGCCCAGCAAGAAGGGTGTTCCCAACCCAAAGTTCAGTGGGGAAGAGAGCAGCTCAGAGACAGGGAGAGAGCCAGGGAATGCAGCAAAGGAGGAGCAGCATGAGCATTATGGGGAGATGCAGAAAGATGCTGAGTGACTTTTGGAACTCAAGAGACGAGGACCACCTCCCACACTGGCTCCAGCACTTTGGAGATAGTCTTTTCTCTACGATCAAAATCTCTCCATTTTCACCATCTGCTTTAGTTCTTCTTCACATCTCTCTGCCCCCCCAGGAAATAAATGCTGGGTTTTGCCTCCTGCCCATTCAAGCTTTCAATGTCACCAGCTAACTTCCCACCATCCTGTAAGCCCACTCAGATATCCAGCTGGCCCTGTGGGCAAATATACCCAGACACTGTCTTCCTCTGGTGTCACTGCCCCATCCCAGCTCTTATATCAGGAAGATATGAGACGCCAATGTCATCCCCATCTCTGGGCAGTGAATCAGCACGCATGGATATCTTTCAGGTGAGTTATTGACTCTCTTGATAAGCTGAGAGGTAAAACATTCATTTCCCAAGTCAACTGAAAACACTTCTATTCTGTAATCTGAGTGGTGCTGGAATTTGGCTCTAATTAGATTGTAGGGAGAGGAGCAGGGACACACAGTCTGCCCCGCTGTTCACAGCAATCAGGACAACCAATCCCACCCCCTGCAGAGATCACCAGAAAACAGAACCGGCTCTGTCTCCCACCCACAGGAGCCACATGCTCTCCTGTGCACCTACATGTTCCCTGCTCCCAGGGTGCTGCACATGTGCAACGAGCCATGGAGAGGACAGCCAAGAGACAGGCTCCATGTGCAGCCACTCACATCCTGGGCAGAGGAGGCAAACCTTTAGGTCCGTGCAATACATCCTTATCTATGACAGGCCATGACACATGTCAGGTGAGTCTGTGACAAGTGCAGACTACCTGGTTTTGAAGCATTCCTATTTCCTGTGGCTCCCACACAGCCCCTGGCTGAGGGAAGGGAATATTATTCTGTGGGTCCTTATGAATGGTGTGTCTGTCTCTTTTTCAGACACAAGCATTACCCAGAGGACTGCCCAAGCTTTTGAGAACTCAGCACCACACTTACACCAGCCTCACCCACTGCCCATGGCTCTCTGCAAGGACAGCAGCAGTCCTTCCAGATCACTATATAGCAACTGAATCTTACAGCACTGAGGTCTAAGTTTCTCCCACGCTAAGTGTGCACCAAGAATCTTCCCTGTTCCTCAGCTTCTCCTTTAATGAAAGAATAGCAGCAATAGTATCACCAAAGCAGCATCCATAACAGTCCCCTAACCCTCTTCACATGGGGGCTTGTAAGGTCTTGTTAACATTCCCTTTGGAACACTCAGAATTTTCTTGAGTTGGAGCTCAGTCTGGAAACAAGTGTGCTTTATCAAAAACAGAAGGCAGCTGGGGATTTTCAAACCATGGAAGTAAGAAATCAAGGCCTAAACTTTCCCTAGTACATGCTCTGCCAGAGCAAACCCCACCCAAACAGACACTGCCTCTCACAGCTGCCCAAAAAACCTGCAGGCACCCCAGCAATCTTGGCAGGTGTGTCAGTGGGATTCCCTCTTGTCCCAGCTCTTCCACTACTTTCACTCTGCCTTCCTGGCTTGCTGAAACACCAGGAGCTCCCTCCTGTCTAAGCCATGGATTGTGGTGGTTTGAGACCCTCAAAAATCCAATTTCCAAGTCCAAGCCCCCCTCCCACAACTCACCCCAGTGTGAGAGGGGTTTTCCGGACACAACACAAGACTCAATATGGGGGGAAGGGAATTATATTACAATTATTACACAAGTAAATATTATAATACATTATATACACAATTCTAATTATCTCTCCTATGGTAAAGCAATATTTACATTGGATCAAGTCTCCTCCTCCCTCCAATAAAAGTCCAGAAGGAAAGAAGGAAAGATCCTTTCCACGTTCAGGGCAGCAGTCATAGCTGGAGTTGTTGTAGCTGTCTCTCTCCATTACACACAAGGGGGTCTCCTCTCACCCCTCTCAGCCCTTCGGCTCCAAGTGAAGGTCTCTCTCCTGTGGACTGCGATTGCTGGGACAAAAGCTGGCTTCACCACATCATATCATGAGGTGTAAGACATCCCATGAAAGTCCCTTCCTCGAGTGGTCAAGTTCCCTCAAGTCAGAACGTTTAGGGCTGCTCTCAGTTCAGTCTTTGCCCCAAACATCTCATCAGAGCTCCTTTGCTCTGCCTCAGCTGCCAGCCTGGCAGCAGCAGCAGGGGGAGAAGGCCAGTTCCCCCGCATTCCGTCCGGCCGTCCTGGTCCAGCTTCCAGGACGTCTCTGAGCTTCTCAGCTCCTCTCTCCGGTGCATGCTGCATTTTAGGACTCCCATCAAGTAGAAGTCCACCCCCTCCTCCCAGGAGGGGTCTCAAAGGGGTTTTGGGGAGATTTAATTCAGTCTTACCCCAAAACTATCTTTGGTGAGCTTAGTCCTCTCTCCCTCCCTCCGTCAGCTTGGCCGCAGTGCTGTCTTTGCTGCTTCTCTCTTATCTTCTTGGCTTTCAGCCACAGTTCTCTGTTCGGTGCTGTCTCTGTTGCCACTCCTGCTGCCCACTCACAGTGGAGAAAAACTCCCTCAGCTCTTGGCCACAGTACTCAGCCCAGTTTAACACTGTTTCCGAGTTTCTGCAGCCCCAGCCGGGGGGCTGGTGGGGCCTCGGCCCCCAGTGGGGCTCCAAGCCCCCTGTCTCCTCGTGGTCTCAGACCATGGCTGCCACTTTTTCAGCTATGTCATCCTCCTTCTTTTCCGGTCTGGTGTGATATGTTTTAATTTTGCAGGGGCGCTGATTGGGTCAACACCAAGAAACACCACTCCCTTGGGGTTACCATTTTTTTTAGCTCCAGGGGAAAACACTTTTTTTTCCCCACCACAAGGATGCAGGCCAGCATTTTCATATTCAGGCTGAGCACCCATGGATTTGTGTATTCTGCCAGGATCGAGTGTCTGGAGGAACGAAGCCAATGCACATCTCAGCTCCACACCTCTCCTTCTGATCCCAGTGGGCACAGGCCTGCTGCTGGTTGCTGCTCCCTGGGAGTGGGGTACGCCAGGTTCTTCCTAGCTCCAGTCCTCAGTGACCCACATGCATCCTCCCCTGTACCCCAAAGCTGATGAAACAGTGCTGCCATGATGCTTCCATCCACTCGACTCCTCTACAAGAAGCAAGCAAGGCCAGTCTCCTGGAAATGAGCAACAAACTGAGGTTTCCCTCCCCAGTGGCCCACCCTAGAAATGAGAGCCTGGACCTGAAAATGGGGGATGCAGGTGGAATAGCAGCTCTGCTAGAGCAAACAGCTTGAGCATGGGCTCTGCCAAGTGAATCACCTTCAGAAGCAGGTGCATCAAACCTCTGCAACACCTCCTCCCTCCTGCTGAGGATGAAGATGGGACCAGATAGGCGTGACACTGCACTCCCCTGTGACTGTCAAACCAGCTTGTCTGCTGCCACTTCAGATAACACAAGCACTGTCAAGCCGGGGTGGGGGGGAGCACAGACCCCATCCCAAGTGTTGCTATGCCCAGGCTGTGGAGCCACCAGCACTCGGCTCACTGTCAGGCTGGGCCCCTGGCTACCTTCTCATCAGCACCAGGCCAGCACCTGCTGCTTGGAAGCATTGTCCTGCTTGCACTTCCACAGCACTAGAGCCTCCAGGCTGCCTTCCTGAGGAATGTTCCATCCATCCATCTTCAGCTGCTCTAGTTATACCAGTCATGGACTAAATGAACTCAACAAACATCTTGGGGGGATGATCAGGGACTAGTGAAATAATACCCAAGCTTGTGCACAGTTATAGGTGTATATATCTATGTATATAGTTGAAAGGTGTAAATCTGGGCATGGCATAATTAGTATAGAATAAGGGATGGATAATGTTATGGTTACAAAGCAAGGGGGTGGAGCTTTAGTGCTGAATATTCGATACCACCCACATCACTGCTGGGGTGTAGTTTTTGGCAGGGGAAAAAAAACCTAAGGCAGCCACCAGAACCCGGAAATCAACATTTTTGCCTTGCTCTCTCCAGGAAGGAGCAGGGTCAGCCACCCTGTGTACCCAGTCCCCACTGCCACCACCGGGGTCAGCATTTTGATAGTAAACCCCCCAATTCGAACGAATCAGCTCTCCAGGTTTTGGGTTGTCCCCATTTGGTTTTTCGTTGTTCCCAGGCAGGGGAAGGGGGTGAAGTTTAAGCCAGGAGAGCCTCTTTGCCATCTTGCCTTTGTTTCCAGGGGGCCATGTGGTGTTGCTGCATGGGAACAGTCACCACCTTGTTCTAGGGGGGCTAGGCAACATCTTGCCTTTGTTGGTTCCCTCTTTTGCATAATCTCTTACTATTGTTGTTGTGTATATTGCAATTTCTTTAGTAAATTGTGACTCCTCTCCTAGTATTCTTTCCTCCACTGTCAACAGGGCAATTTGAGTGGGCTTGGTTTTCCCACTGAGTTTTAAAACCAGCACACCACGTTAGAAAAGCCTGTCCCTGGGAGCTGCTTTATGTGCCCAGATGCCTGGAAAGGGCTACCCACAATCGGACCAGGAGTGGGGACAGACTTACAATAGGTGCATTCTAGAGACCCTGACCCTCTCATCCTGCCCCACCCCATAGAATCTTCGCCAGCACTGGTAGAAGACAGCAGGAGAGAGGCTGGTTTGCCAATGGGTCAGGGATAAGGTAAGCTCTGCAGTTGGTGCCCAGTTCCTTGGCTGGCACCTGGGGATCCACCTGGGCAGAGGGGTTATCCACCACTGCAGCTGCCTCTTGAAAGCTGTCCTTTAAGATCCCATGCCTGGTCAAAAACCATGAGAACCTGAAGATCATTGAGGACTTGCTGCCCCTCGGCATATACACAGACATCCCTACACAGGAAGTGTGGGTGCAGCTATGATTCCTTCAGGTAGACATGAATTCAACATGAAAAAGGAAAAGCAAATAAGGTACACCCATATACAGGGAAACTGAGTCAGGCCACTGGTGAGACATCCTCACAGGACCCACACAGGATGGCAAGGCTGCTCCGCACACAGCCTGTGAGACGAAGCATCCCTGAACTGCACAGAATATCTCAAAAGTTGAAAGGGACCCATAAGTACCATCGAGTCCAACTCCCTCCTCCTCTCAGGACTAGCAGTTTAAAAAATAATCACAATTCAGAAAAGAGTAGGGTCATTTACAACGTGACAGTTAAATGATTTGCCTCAAGCTGATACTGCTGTTCATTTTTTAACTGTTGGCATTAACAACTTGTGGAAAATCAATGTTCAGTCTTCCGTTTCTGTTCGGTTGTGTTGTTCCGTGTCACTCGGTGGAGACAACGAAAGCAGTGTGCCCTGTGCTTCTGTCACTTCCTGCCTTCTGAGTCCCTTCCCTTCACACAAGATCATTCACTCCTCTTTTTGGACACTGTGGGTCGGCCACTGGGGATTCCATCCCTCCTGACAGGAGTCATCTCACTCCACTCCTGATCTAAGCTCGGGAACAGCCTTCCCACCATGCCCAAGCCCCGGTTCAGTGGCAGGGTTACAAGGCTCACCTGACTCAGGTGATGGCCTGCATCCTCCAGCGAGGGAATGGCAGCGTGTGGCTGCATCTCTTCCAGTCCTCCCAGCTCACAGGGGCTGTCTCACTGCCCAGCAGGTCCCCAGGTCTCCCCCACCCCCGAGAAGCTCTGAGCAGAAATGGAGCCGAGTCAAAGCCCAGGCCTGGAAAGTGAGATCTACACCTTCCTGAGCTGGTTGGCAAGAAAAAGATTCTTTGAGATTAAGCGGGACATTGCTGCTTTTGCCACCTTCATGGGTGAGTGCAGAGCTCAGCACGAGGCATGTGCCAGATGACTTCCCTTGGAGCTGGGCTGGGCAGGCAGCTGCTCTGATCCCAGCAACCCAGCAGTCCTCCCTGCACTGCCCTCGCGCATCAGAGCTGGAATCAGGACTGGCATTCCATTCTGCACACTCCTGCCTTCCAGAACCGAGGAAGACTTTTCTCATCAGAAGAAAACAACACGCATTTGGTTGCATATTCTACCCCTACCAGCAGGAAGCTGAGTTGGAGAGGATGTGACAATATTGATTGAACCGCACACACTAGTGCGAATTAAAAAAGGAGCTCACTCTGCACACAGGGAGGGCTAAAAAAGACCATAGACAGTTAATAACCAGAGAGCTTATTAACCATAAAAACATCCTCCTCTGAGAGACTGTTAATGGTGAGCAGCTCCACACATGCACAATCACTTTCTAAGCAGAAAATGGTCTGGATCAGAGCAAGGGTTGGTAAATGCACACCCAGGGTCATGGCCGCAACTAGTCATAAGGCTAACTGACTGGAATCAGTAACAAGTCTGCTATTGCATCAGCCCATCCAGGCCTCTCTACCTTCCACATTCATTCACACACATTCATCAGTCACAGCCTGATGCTCACGTGTAGGCTCTGTTATGGCCTGCAACCTGTGACATCAGCATGCATTAGGCCAAGCACAGCACCAAGTGTCGAGTCCCCAGAGAAGGAGGCTGCAGCAGCACAAGGCTGGCACTAACCCACACAGAATCCCAGGTGCAAGGGCATGTTTTAGGGATACTGGGAGGAGCATCCTGGGAGATGAAGTCCCAATTGTACTCCTGCACATAGGCACTGGGGTGCCCCATGGTAATTGGTTAAGAGAATCACGTGTTGTTTTAAAGTGCATATAAAAGATGCTGTTTGCTTCCAATAAATGGATTTGGTTGTTTGGACCCCCAACCAACCAAGTCGTGTGAGTTTATTATATTAACAAATGCCACACCCAAGGATCTCACAAAGGGGCAGGAAGGAAGGGCACAGACAAGACAGGCCACATGCCCAGAGCAAAGGTCTATGCAGGACAAATAAAAATGAAAGCAACATACCAACCTCTAGTCTCCACCCTTGGAGTGATTCAAAACCCCTCTGAACACGGTACTGGGAGACAAGGTTTGGACAGCCCTTCTTGAGAGGAGAATTGGACTGGATAGACCTAGAGATCCTCCTTCCAGCCTCAACCATTCTGTGATTTCTTTGAACACAGAGCTCTGGATGGCACTTGGAAAACAACCAAGCTGTCAATGGACAATGGAAAAATGGTGAGCCTGCAGTGTTCACCTCAGCACACACGCAGGATCCTGGGCAAGGTATTCCAGTGAGGGAAGCCACCAGAAACAGTCTGGAAACAGCTAGCTGGAGCCCACCAGGAGACAGGTGATGCTTCTCATCACTTCCCAGCCAGCTCCATGAGCCAACCCAGGCTCAGTAACTGTGGCTTCTTCAAGACAAGTTTGGAAAACTACTTCAAGTAGGACTTGGGTGTCAGATAGCACTGGGCTGAGGCCATTTAAACCAGGCCCAGCCTTTGAAGAGCTGCCCAGCTGTGCCCCAGAGACCACTACCGTCCTCCCAGTAGGGCAAAAGGAAACGCAGCATGCGTAACCAAGAACAGCCACTCACTTGTGAGAGAGCACACAATCTCAGATACTAATTCTTTCACAGCCCACAGGAGCATTGCAGGTCTGAGGGTCTTTATTTCAGCTATCAATGGCTATAGGGATGAGTTACGCACTGTAGCATCCATAGGCAGCAAATCAGTGTAGCAGTGTGGTACTCACTTTGTATTTAATGACAGGATGAGGGACTGAACAGCTGTGCTCAGCTCAAGGTACCAAGGCAACTCCAAAGGCTAGCAGCGAAAACAAGATACTAAACCTGGAAAAGACCAATGAGCCCAACTAGGGTTTAGGGAAAAAAAAATCACATTGATGCCAGGGAAAAAAACCCAAAGAATTCAAACATCAGCAAATAAGAGCATCCTCAAAGGCGAATCAGTAACATGGGCATGGACAGAACAGGCAGGAGAGGGAGTCGCTCAGGGTTAGTGATAACTACAGCTGGAGCAGATCACAGCAAAGTACTTCGCTACGTGGAGCAACATGCCCTACCTTTTATGAGGTGTGTTAAATTACCCTTCCCCTCTTCCCAGCCACCCCCCAGTCCAGGAGTTAAGTTACAGCACTGTGTACAGATCCAGTTAATGAGGGGAGTCCAGAGCCCTCATCCCTTGTAACAGACCCGTGTAACTCATCAGGAGCTTAGGAAATGTGAGCCACACAATGCACAAGAGGACAGGGACAGGTGGAAGCTCCAATCACCCAGCACTGCTTTGTGACCTGCTTATGCGGCAGTCCCAGACAAGGCTACTAAAGCTGTGTCTCTGGGTACACTGACCCTGCCCTTTGGAGGGCATCTGGCAGTGAACTCCAACATTCCTCAGGCTGACCTAGACTCAGATGGGATGAGAAAACAAAGAGAGAGACACTAGAAGTACTGTAAGGGCTTAAACTATTCCACAGAGAGTTAATATGGCCTGTAGTTCCAGTAACTGGAGAAAACGGAGATCTGAAAAGCAAGAAGAAAAGCAGGTAAGTTCCTGTACCCCTTGGACCACGGAGGAAAGAGCACATAATAATGAGGTCTGAGCTTCACAGCATTACACACTTCAGCAGTGCGCTGCTGATGGGCAGGTTTGCTGCTGCTGTCACTGAAGGTACTTGGAGCACAGAGTTATTTGCTCAAGGTGGCAGCCAGGCCAGCTGCAGAGCTGGAACTGAGCACTGCTCTACTGGAATCTAGGTTGCTGAGGTCTCCATGCTCCCCTCCAGCACCCTGGTGTTTCCTGTCATCCAGCTCATGACTGAGAACACAAAAGTGTCTACTTGCTCCTTTCCATCTAGTCACTAGCTCAGCAGACATCTGCCACACCACTATACTTATCTTATGGCTGTCAGCTAGGCAGTGCCAGCCAGCTCCCTGGCTCCAGAGCACTGATTCATCCCTTGTTTTCAGCAAGTTGTACAAAATAACATCGCATCAGATCTAAGGTCCTCTCAAAATCCAGAGTAAAAACCAAAGCCCCTTCTCCAAGCCCATTACCTTGTCCTTCAGTTGCTGGCAAAGCTGCAGTGAAACTGTGAAGAACACAAGGGCATCATTTAGCCACGGGACAACACATTCCACTTTATGGACGTGGCTGACTTCATACCGCTGGCTGCCAAACTCACTGGAGAGGGGAAGAAGAGCACAGCTTCACACACAATGGCACAGAGCACAACTCCACTGTCCTCCATTCCCACAGGAGAGACTGATGACTTCTACCACATTTAAATCAGCATCTGGCAAAGTTACGAGAATGCAAAGACTCAGTCCACCTCTGACCAGATTTAGAGTTAAGCTAAAGGGTGAAGGCAGAAATTTCTTAACATTCCAGAGAGGCACAGAAGCAGGAAATGACGATGGCAATACCAATAACCGAACGCTCATTTTGGTTGAAAACTCTTATTCTAACTAAACTCACAGCACTGTATGGATGGGCTGGATCCTAGAAATTCACATCTTTGGGCCTTTATGGACAAGTCATTAAAGAGGCAAAACAGAACATTCACAGGCACAGCAAGTGACTCAGTCCAGCTTCTCTGCTTCACAGATGCTACAATGAAAACTGCACACAGCTATTTGGATCTCACCCTCAGCACACACATCTGTTACTCAGGTACACTACCCCTGTAGTGACTGTACTTACAACATGGCCCCAGGGTTGTGTAAAATGGACCCTCCAGCAGGCTTGAAGTTCTAGAGAAGGAAAAGTTCATTAGGATTTTGATGCAGTAAACAAACCACTTAGAAGAAAGGCATTTCAGGTTTGCACTTTCAGTAGCCGGACACCTAGAAATGCCCACACTCTATTTGCCTGGATACTCCATCCATATATAATCCATGTTTTCAGATCCCTTTCTCCTCCTTCATTAAAAATATCCTACACAGTGGTGGAGTTCAATTTAGCTCCAAATATTAGCACTAAAAAAATAAGATAAGAAGATCCAGAAGAAAAACATAACATAGATTTTTAGGGAAATCTTCCTTATGGAAGCACTGCATTTCATAAAGTTTAAGAGTTTAATGATGTTTTTACAGGTGTATTGGGTTTGCGTGGCCAGTTTTTGGTAGTGGGGGGGCTACAGGGGTGAATTCTGTGAGCAGCTGCCAGAAGCTTCCCCCATGTCAGCCAGAGCCAACTCAAGCCCGCTCCGGGATGGACCTGCCGCTGGTGCATCAGGACAAGCCCATCAGAGATGGCAGTGATTCCTTGGGGATAAGCTATTTAAAAAGGAAAATAAAAAAAAGTTATTGTGCAGAGGGAGAATATGTGAGAGGAACAGCTCTGCAGACCACCAGGGCAGTGCAGAAGGAAGGGGCAGGAGGTGCTCCAGATGCTGGAGCAGACATTCCCCTGAGATTCTGTGGGGAAGCCCCTGATGAGGCAGCTGTGCCCCTCCAGCCCACGGAGGGCCAGAGGGGTGCAAAGATCCACCTGCAGCCCAGGAAGGAGACCCACACTGGAGCAGGTGAATGCTCAAGAGAGGGCTGTGAACCCATGGGAAACCCATGCTGGAGCAGGATCCTGGCAGGGACCTGCAGACTCATGGAGAGAGGAGCCCTGGGAGCAGGTTTCCTGTTAGGATTTGTGACCCTTTGGGGGACCCACACTGGAGCAGCCTGTGCCTGAAGGGCTGCACCCTGGGGAAGAGTGACCCACGCTGCAGCAGTTTGTGGAAAACCGCTGCCTGTGGGACGGACTTATGCTGGAGAATTCCATGGAGGACTGTCTCCTGTGGGAGGGACCCCACACTGGAGCAGGGCAAGGACTCCTCTCCTTGAGCAGTGGCAGGAACAACGTGTGATGGATGAACTGACCATGATCCCCATTCCCACCTCCCTCCACTACTGGAGGGAGGAGGGAGAGCCTGGGAAAGAGGAAGGGGTGGGGGAAAGGTGTTTTTCAGATTTATCTTATTTCTCGTTATCCTGCTCTGATCTTGTTAGTAATAAATTCAATTAATATCCCCAATTCGACTCTGCTTTGCCTGTGACTGTATTTGGTGAGTGATTTCTCCCGGACCTTATGTCAACTCATGAACTGTTATATTTTCTCCCCCCTGTCTGGTTGCAGAGGGGAGTGACAGAGCAGCTTTGGTGGGTCCTGACATCCAGCCAGGGTCAACCCACTACATCAAACTGATCTATGCAACAGGTAAAGGAGAAAAGTATCCATCAAAACTCCATTCAGGAAACGCAAGATGCTACTTTGATGTAAACTGGATTAATATAATTATGCCCTCCCAAAATTACACAAAATTATCAAACTATATTGTAAGTACTTAGTGATAAATAGTTACTGGCTTTCTCCAGAGCACTGGTATGTTCTTCTGGGCTAAGTAGCCATGCCCCAAATTAGATTTAGAGACAGTGCTCTGTGTGCATCAGACCTAAACACAGACACTTAGCACCAGTTACCGTCATTTCTGCCTTATCTTATGCCCATAACATTGTACCAGGTAGCAGTGTGATCTCCTCCCTGCAGTGGGATGCAGGGAGAGGGAACTAAACAAGACTCAGGAAATAGCAGACATCACCTTGGTTGTGCTGGGCTGCAGCACATGGAGCTGGTAGACAGTGAGGCACAGCTTGTTCAGATTAATATAGAAATTCACAAGGATGTCTGGAGGCAGCACAGGGGTGAACATTTTCTGGTGAGAAAATAAGTAGTTTCTTTGTCAGTGAAAGGACCATCATTTCTAATGCTGGGAAATCACTCCCTTTTCCTAAGCCACACTACAATTACAATGGCAAGAGAGACATCAGGAGAGAAACAAAGACTGAGCAGCTGCAGGCAACGGTTGTTTCTCTCACTGCCCTTGATCAAATGGTATGCGCACAACAGTGAAAAGAGAGGATGGAGCAGTGTTCACAAGGGCAAATCATCCCTAGACAAGACTCCTGAGCAGAGAACAGAACTTAGGCATGAGGCCTGGTTCTCAGAGAGTAAGTCATCTGCCACTCCCACAGGAAGATACAGAGCAGCCAAAACCACTCAGGGTTTGCACTTGCTTCATCCCTGCCTCAAGAGACACTTCAGAAACCCACTTCCACCAGGATGCTGCCCAACATCCAAACTGTTGCATGCTACCATACAGGCCTGTATGGAGGTCTAGACCAGCGTATACTTACTGTGAGACCGCTAGAGGCAATTTCTGGTAGTGTTAGGGTAGCTGGAGTGGTCAGCCGATTTCGGGCTCTGGAGAGCTGCAACATCACAGCATCCATAAGCTACGAGATAACATACAGAAAACTGCTGAGTGTGATCCCCAAACAGCTCTGGACAGCATGCTGCAGAATCCTACAGCCTTCTGCAAGTGTTACAACAACCACAATCACCCCCCCTAACCCTTCCAGGAATTCAGGGATCTATTGGGAAGGGGTGCCTGCCACAGAAATGCTGTTTAACTGTTACCACAATCAGACACTCGTGAGACGAGCCAGGAGTGTTCAATACCAGGGACTGACAAGAAAACAGCTATTCATTACAAGAATACCAAGAGAACATGAGCTCAATTACTGATGCCACAGAAGCATCGACAAACTCATCATGGTCATCTCTTCAGAGGAGGGGGCATTAAGGAAAAAAACACACTGCTTTCTCGTTCTCCCCATTCCCACATCACAGGTACAACTGCTGAATGGGCTCCCCCCCTCCATAACCAGCTATGACCGAGGGAACTAGAAAGAAGAACCTGCTCATTGTGAGGCCAACCCTGCCAGAAACCACAGTTCAAAGGCTCTATTCAGGCAGACTTTCTTTTCCAGAAAAAAACGGGGAAGCAACATAGGTCTGTAATAGAGCTCATGATTGCTAAAATGAAGGTATTTTATATTATGACTAATTCCTCTCCCTACTTCCACCTGAAATTAAAAAGAAAATAGTTTTATTACCTAAACTTCTCCCTATGAGCAGCCCTTGCCCATGTGGAAACTAAAAAAGGTCTAGTTTTCTCATGTTTGATGTTGTGATGGATTGCAATGAGCAAGCTGAAACTCTGGTGCCTTCAGAGAGCACTTCCAAGCAGAGGGTTGGGCTTCACTGCCATGCAGCAGTTGCTCTATCAGACCCCAGCAGCTACTACTGGCAAGTGAGAAGTCACTTTCAAATCTTCAGTAAATCACAAGTACTGTCATCTTCTCTTTGCTGATGGCTGCCTCACTGCTTCTCTTGCCAGCAGCACTGATCAACAGAGAACTGTAATCACATCATCCACAGAAGATCAAGGAAGATCCTCCCAGATTATCACTGGTGTGCAACAGGGCACCAACTGCTCAGATTACTGGTGCCAAACTGGTACAGATTCATATCAAATACAAGGTCCCATGGACACTCCTTGACACAGGTACGACTGCAAAGTCCATTCCCATTAAGAGACTCAGACAGCAACGTGCATTAACTGTGTTTAAAACAACAAACGGAGGGAGGAAAAATGCATGTTCCTACCCAAGCAGCAAGGGCTGTCTCCTCACCTTGAGCACCTCTGAGCCTGTTTTGAACTGGTAGTTCACATCTCGGTTCATAAGCAGGTAAATGGCTTGGTTCACATGGTTTCTGGCATCCTGGATCTGCAAAGGTACAATGGCAGCCCTATGAAAAAAACACTCTCTCATATGTGGTGGCAAGTAGAGGTGATCCCCATTATCTCGCTGGCCTTCAGAAAACGGTGACTTCTCATATGCTAATGCCACGTCTGAATGCCAGACACTAACACAAACCTAACCACTGCTGCCCAGATGCATTATTGGGTTCTTCTCTCAGGGACTGGAGATGCAAAACAGCCTGACAGCTACAACCTGGATGGTCAACAGAAATATTGCTGCTGCCATGAAGGAACAGTGACATCAGCCACTCTTTTCCTGGGAGCACTCTGACCATGACTGCTCAGGTAGGAATTCTCACTGCTGATGGAATAGAGCGGTCATCTCAAGCACCACTGAACAATGATTTCTTCCTTAGCTAAAACCAACCAATCAAAGCTAAAACCAACGGCATTGATTACATTGATGATTTCTAATGCAGCGTCTCTGGCAGTATCCCAGAGTCCTTCTAAACTAAAATTGTTGGGATTGAGAGTTATCTCCAGCATCAAGAAGCTGTGCCATTGTGTGGGACTGGAACAGACTCAGGACACAGCTGGCTCAAGTTCCTCTCAAGCAAGAGGAACACAATTATCAAAGCAAGGTATCATAGGTGTATCCCAGTGCTTTCATGGGAGCAAGGACAAACTAGAGGAAGACAATGGCCCGGGGAGAAAGTGACTGGTGTTCAGCTTCAGGCAGCAACCAGAAAATTGAAAAAAGAAAAACAACAAGGAGTAAATGAGAGGGTGCAATAAATGGAAGTGAGAAGCCTGAAAGCTTGTATGAGAAATGTCTGCTGGGAGACAGACAACACAGCTTGGGGTATTTGTAGTTCGATAGATCTACACTGCCCTCCAGCAATCCTAGATCCCAGGACAGCCTTGTAGAGGTCTCCCTGGCATAGATCTGGACACTGGTTCCTTCTCATGCAGAACTCAAGGATCACAGAACAACTCTGCTCTTAGAAAGCACAGGTATGGGAGGCTACAGAGGGAAGAGAGAGATGGTAAGTTCACTGTCAAACTGCAGAGAGACTCTGCAGGTACTTAGGCATTTCCAAACATCACTCCCTTCAGCTTTTACACCTCCTAGATGTTTCTGAGCAAGTTAAATGGTTCCTGGCAGCATTACCCAACCAAGCAATGCCAATCCTGCTGTCATAATGATTTGCTTCATTCATATTCCCCCTTGTTTTTGCTCTGTTTTCTAATCAAGTTCCTCAAAATTTGTGTGCCTGCACTTGTGTTCCTCAAAAACATGCCTATACTACAATTCTTACCAATGACTTCACTTTGCACAGACAAACAAAACTCCAACTGGCACCACTCACTAAGGGAAGGTACCATCTTTGAGATGCTCATTTTTAATTCAGAGGCGAAAGATCACCACATAATCACTTTAAATGCTTTTGCACACAGTCCTTTTGAGGCACTCACGCTCCACATCTGAACAACATTACAACACAAAATGCTTGCAAGTAAATAAAGGAAGGTGTTTTCCATAAAAGCCAGTAGAAGCCTATTAACAAGGCAGCAGTACAAAGCAGCCACAAAACAGGATGCACTGCTGAGTGCTGTCAGAAAAACTTCCCTGCCTTGTTGCAAGGCATAAACAAATCGAGTTGAGTTTGGCATTAACATCGCAAGTACACAATTTTCTAGATTTCTACAAAGTTATCAGGTAGAGCTTTCACTTTGCTGCCAAAGCAGCTGTTGGGAATGGCACTCAATGCCAAATGCACTCATCACCTAGAAAAATCTGAGACATGGCAAGGGGAAGCACAAGGAATACGTCTTCCTCCAACCTACTCAGCTTTGACAAAGTAACTGTAGTAAACCACCTCCTCCAAATCAGGCACTAGTTCAGGTCCTGAAATCAGGTAGCTCCCAGCAAAATGGTGGGAAAGAGATTCCAGTTCTGGATAGCTGCGTTCTTTTAACTCCTTACCTGAGGGAACTCAGACATGCTACAGGAGCACAGTGATGTCCTCATGTCCTAGTTAGGACAGCTGAGATCAGTTCATCATGGTGGGTGTAACCCAAAACTGTATTCTATAGCCTTCCATGTCATTTCCCAGAAACTAGACTATTGTTGTCAATAGACTATTCGCACCCTCTGCCCATAGAGCCTGACTCCTCAGGCTATAAACTAGGTGTTAAGAGGCCTGTGAGATAGGAGGATGTTTCTGTCCTTACACCCTTTGTGGAACTCCCCGCCCTGAGGGGAGCACTGAACATTCCTGCCTGAACTGGAGGATATATAATCTTGGAGTTTTGGAACATTTTTCAACCCACTCGTGGGATCCAGAGGACGGCTGCATCTCATCGCTCTCAACCAGACTTAGACCACCACTGGACTGCGATCACCAGTTCTGGCCAGACTGCAGCAGCTCTCCCACCAGCAGGTTCTTCCCCTCTCCCTTTACTTTGGACTCAAACGGGGCCCAAGGAACACCATTTTGTTCATGCCCCAGGGCACTGGGTTATACATTTGGGTTTTTGTGGGTTGAGACCAATTGTTTGTTTGTATTATTGTACTTACTGTATTATTTTAATAAATTGTTATTCTGACTTATAATCTCTCCTTTGAGTTGAGTTCATTCCCCCTGCTGGTTAACTTTTAAACCAGCACACCTCAGTGTAAACAAATGTATCCATAAGAGAATAACAGCAAGCTACTTGAGGCCCCTGAAGCTGCTCTTTGCCCTGCTAGCCTGGGTGTCATAGGCAGACACAGGACAGTCCTGTGTAGGCACCTTGGGCACTCTTTTAAAGGATCATGACTGCTATGCAGACAGCCTTCAGATTGCTGGTGTGTCAAGAATGAGCAGAACCCATCTCTTCCACCCAGCACTGTAACTGAATGTAACTGGACCTGCTTCTTCCCTGAGTTTCTACCACTGAAACTCATGTGAAATGGACATCAACAGTCTCTCTCAAAGGACTACAACGACTGCTCAGAGGGCACAGACGGGTGGGCATCTAAAGCCAACAGTACCTGCTGCAATTTCCACTGTTTGTCTTCCCGGAATGCAAAGTGCAGGAGCTGATTGTTTCTGGGCATTTTCAGATTAACATCCTTGAAGAAAGAAATAAACACATGAGAGCAAGAAATGCCTGCATGCAAAACATGGGGACTGCCAGTCCCACCCCATTCTTCCAGACCACCCTGGCAAGCTGCATTCCATAGTCATGGCACGGTCAGAACCTCAGTGCTCCCACAAGGTGATGTTAATACAAAGAATAGGTTTAAAGGCATTGAGTGAATTGGGATCCAGGCAGGACACATGACCTCAACTCAGAAAGTCCCCAAGGAAATTTGATACTACACAACAAAGGTGGTAAAGGCAAGGAATCCCCATGGAAGTTGACTCCAGCACTCACCACAGTGTGGGGGTGGTGGGAGGGAATGTCAGATGCTGGGTCTTGACAAACTGCAACAATTGCTGAAACATCTAGTATTTAAGGCCTATTAGGGAAGACTGACAAAGAACACTGATCACTGGTAACAAAACCAGGGTGACCTCCCACCCTGAGGTGATCAAAGGGTAATAAGGATGACACCCACCCCTTGTAGTATAAAGCAAGAAGCATGGCAAGTACTCACAGCTTGACACAGGGCGTCTCCCTGTAGTGTCAACACACCTTTCACCTGGTCTGTGCTGGAATGAGAGGAAAGATCTGGGCAACACCAGTCACAAGAGGTACCTACTGACTGCCAACTCGACCCTGCCCCTCCCAGTCCTGTGTAGCCAGCCCAGTTCTTCCTGTGCAGGGTCTGAACGCTATTCCTGCCCAGTACCTGAACACTACACGCGCTTTCAAAGTTCCCAGCTCTTGGCCTATGGCCAGCTGCTGTCATATTCTTTACTGGCCACCTCACCCCAACTGCCCTGCCTAAAACATTACCTTCATTTCTAATCCCATACTTATCCCATGAATCACCTCTCGACAGTTCGGTTGTTGTTACAAACAGCTCCAGAAGGCACAGGCATAAGACAATAAATGAATTACCGACATTGGAGGGTTAGGTGGTTAATACAGGAGTTGAAAATTACCAACCACACCTCATCCCAAGGAAAAAAACCTAATATAAATAAAACGTAAATAAATGAAACCCCACAACCCAAAATAAATAAAAAACTCACACCCCAAACCCTTTGAAAAATCCTGCAAGATGACTCACATCTACAATGAACAGTGAGGGGAGAAGACTGAAACACCTGGGCCTTCAGGAACTCAGTTTGGCCACACCTTGCACTCTACTACATTAGACAGAGACTCTTTAGACCAACACTTTGCAAGATTCACCTTGCAACAACAACAAATGAAAACTAAGATTAAGCTTAATATTTTAAGATCTGAAGAAGACAATCTTCAAACCCAGTACAGAATTACTGCATCACCCCTTGCAATGCTCACTGTGCCGTTCCTAAGGACTTGCTTTGTGACAAGCTTGCGACCTTTGCCAGAGCAGCTATTGAGACTAAAGGCTATGGTGAAGATCAAAAACCGGACATCAATTTCAGAAGAACTGCATGTCTGCATCACCTTCTGCACAAGCTTCAGTTTGCTCTGTGTGAAGGAGATTTACTGTCTTAGGGAGATTAGGACAAAGGTTAAGATTTGTCCACACAGTCAGAAACCGAGCCAAGAGCAGAATTCGGGTCTTGTAACTGCAACTCCCTGTGCCCAGAGTCATAAAAACGCCCCTTGGCAAACTGCCCGCACCAGCATGGAGCAAGGAATCAGTGATACCAGGTGTCAGCAGGAAACAGCACAAGGCTGGCTCTGGCAGCCCTCAAACACAGCTATCAACTGTTACCTTCACCTGCCATGAGAGTTCGTTTGTTTGTTCTCCTTAAAGCAAAATCTTCTATTAAAGAAAACCCCACTACTCCAGAGGTGCTATAGAGCCCTTCACCACAGATGCTCCGGGATCTGCACCTGTTTGCTGTAGAGGGAAGTGACCGACTGACCACCACCACCACTTACCCTGATGTGCTCAGTACGAAATTCTCCTGCCTGACAGCTGCTCCTGAGCCACTGGTGGGCAGAGCAAAGCGGTGGGAGGCCTCCTGCCCGAGAGAGGACACAGTGAGTGCTGGAGCATCTGCACCATGAGCCAGGAACAAAGATAACACGGACACCAGCAAGTGGCCAAACGGTGAGTGCTCACCTCTGCCAGCCTCCTGAAGCCCACCGAGCAGAGCCCCTGGATTTCATCCTACTGCAGGACCAGCACAGTCCAGAAGGCTCAGTGTGTGCAACCCACAGCAAGAGACGTTTGGAAATCCCACACCCCGGAGCTGGGCAGTGCCAGAGGGGTCCCCAAGCTGCCCACAGAAGGAGCAGCACCCCTCACAGCCCAGCGCTGCATGCCCTCAGCCACCATGGTGCTGCCCCTTATCACAGCTGAGGGAAGTCTGGAGTGAAAATCAGTCCCCCAACTGGTTACACTGGCTGGTGACAGTGCTTTGATCTCTGTCCTGTAATCACACTTCACCCTTAAAACTATGACAAATTCTTCAAAAAAGGTATTACATATAAAGGTACTGCAGGCTTTTGTCACCTGCTACTGACTCCCATCCTGGGGTTCTGAGTCAACACCATGGCACTCTGGCACCTGCCCCTCACCTCCACATTTTTGGCCCTGCTCTTCCATCACTCACTAATTCCCCAAAAACCTCAGTGTTAAGGGGTTGGGCCTGTTGAACACTGACCCAGCAGGCACATGGTACACTCTCAGTGCACACAATCCCCCTTGGCCAATTCCCCTCCGGCTGCTTGGAAAGAGCCAAAGCTGCAGCCCATGCTCAGGCTGGAGAAAGGTGCTGCCCACCTGGTTCAGCTGAGCACATCAGGCCTCTGAAAGGGGCAGGTACCAGCAGAGGAGTGAGCATGTCGAGGGCGGGACGGTTTTGAACGAGGAGAGTGCATGCTACTAATCACTGCACAAGTAGCAGCTGTCAGCTAAAGGCCACTCATTTCCACCGTCACATGACGGAGCTACAGGCAGATCCAGATTCTGTTCCAGAAAATATTCACCTCTCAGGCAAATGCCTGGCAGATAGGTCTGGCTGCCTCCACTTACCTTTTCAAAGCAGCTCTCAGCAAAGAGGGTCAAGAAAGAAGTAATCTTGGGGAAATCAGCTCTATTGGGAGTCCTCAAAACCAGAGGGCAAGCAAGCACTAGGGACAGCACTGGACATGGGTGCTGGATGTTTCCATACAGCCTCTACTAAGAATTTTTTCCTCCAGGGGAAACCTACGACCATTCCTCCACATGGGAGGGCAAACAAACCCACAACACAAAACGCAGACAAAATTAACAAAATTGAACCTCACCTTCAAAATATCCTGCAGCTGCCTCAAAACAGCATGGACCTCTTCTTGTAAAAGCCATTTAAACTCTTCTTCCTACATCATGGGAAAATAGTAGTGGAATCATGAGAAGTCAAACAGTGGAAGTAAATCTCTCAGACACGTGAAAATTATTTAAGTTCCAAGTGTGGTGCTGTTTCTGTGCTGTTTAAATCAAGGAGGAAAAGAAAAAGATTTCCTCCTGGTTTGCTCAAACACCTCAGTCTCCACATCTCCACTTGTCTATCCCAGTCCAATGAACTGTCCTCATTCTTGTCCTGACTTTGTTTAACAAAGCAGCATTCACACAAATCACTGTACCAATAATCCCAGAATTATGAAAGAACAGGCAGCACGGGATGCAAATTTTAGAGCAAAGTAGAAATCCTGCTGCTTCAAAATCTGAAGCATCTTTTTAAGCTGCTGGGATGGGCTGACCTGGCTGCCAGACACCAACACAACCTTCCCCACTGCCCCTCTTGAACAGGTTGGGGGAGGAAATAAGTTCATGGGCCGGGGTAAAGCCAGGGAGATCCAGTTCCAGTTCCTGGCACAGGCAAAACTGAGCCAATTTGCAGACAAATTTGTTGCCAATTAGATGGTGAGAAACAAAGATAAAAACCAAAATGCCCTCCCCTCCCTCCCAGCATTTCCCCAAGTAACAGCAGCCTAAAAGCACAGCAAGCCAAACTGAAAACGGGGTGGGGGAGACACAGACAATCACTGGGCCAAATTCAGTAACCAACAAGTTTGGATCTGATGACTCATTGTCTCGGGCCTCCATTAGTTGCTGCCACAGAGAAGGCTGTATAAAGCAGACTCTCAGAGCTCAGCTAATGCTTCTGTTAAACCACGAGATCTCATCCAAATCATCAGAGAAGTGGGGACAAAAGCAAGCAGACTACTACATGTTACCCTGTAAGAAAAGAGAAATTTTCCATGTAGAAAGTTATGGAAGGGAATGAATTGAGCAGATTGCCCAAAGAAAAATGGGCAAGGTGTGGTCAACTCAGAACTTTAAGCTTGTGGTTTCTCTGGTAGACAGCTCCTGTTCACCATGAGGCACACAAAATAACCACTCATTGATGTGTCAGCACCTCACACAAGAGTTTTCCCAACAACTAGTAGGAGAAGGCCAAGTTTGTTTCAGCAAACATTCACCCAAAGCCAGCACACACAACAAAGCCAGGCAGGACTCCCTGTTATCCTTCAAAGAAGTCTGGGTGCAGGACCACTGACTTCCACCATTTAATCCTGGTCTGGATTTCTGGGAATCATACTGATCACAGAATCACAGACTGTCCTGAGCTGGAACGGACCCATCAAGTCCAAGTGCGGGTCCTGCACAGGACACGCCAACAATCCCACCATGTCTCTGAGAGCATTGTCCAAATGCTTCTCGGACTTTGTCAGCCCTGGGGCTGTGACCACTGCCTTGGGGGAGCCTGTTCCAGTGCCTGACCACTCTTTGGGTGAAGATCCTTTTTCAAATATCCAGCCAAAACCTCCCCTGACACAGCTCCATGCCATTCCCTTTAGTCCTGTCACTGTTCACCACAAAGACAGATCTCCCTGCTCTTTCTGTAGCGCTCGCTCTCCTCCAGATTCCCAAAGGAACAGTGATCCCGTGGGTGCAGCAGACTCCTTCAGTGCCTCCACCACCCACCGGCACTATGCAGGCATTTCTACTTCAAAATCCCACTGGTGTCTTTCTCCCCTCTAGTCACAGCAAGAAATCTCCCCCTCCACACTAATTTCAGACTGAGTCAAGTTCATGCACCACATCTGTGCACTACATAGCTGTATTTTTGGGAATGCTGCTCATAACCTTCCAAACCACATTAACGTGAGAAAGACCTGTTTTCCCCCGTGGCTTTCCACTCAGCCCGATGGATCTCTGCACCGCCTCCCCAGAGCGGAGGTCTTGCTCCTCCTCGCAGCCGCTGTCCCGGGGAAGCCGCAGTGGCGGCTGCTCTGCGCCATCCCCGCTGCTGCACCAGGTCCCCAGGGCGGCTCTGGCCGTCGCCATGTGCGGGGCCTGTCACCAGGTCACGGTGCACACTCGGGGTGCACGGAGCAAGGCGGCCCCCGCCCCGGGGGCACCACTGGGCAAACGGAGACCCAGCGCCGCCCCCCGGGGGAGCCGGAGGGAGGCCGAACCGTACACAGCCTAGTGCGGCCACACGCCGGAACGCGGGCCCAACCGCCTGCCAGCCGGGCAGCTGCCCCGCCGGTCGCGACCGGGCGGTCCTGCGCATAGCGCTCGGCCCAGGCCGGGGCGCGGAGGAACACAAAGACGCCTTTCCACCCCATATCCGCGGCTCCCCGCCCGAGCCTGCCAGAAGCGAGCTGCGGGGCCCGGCAGGGCTGCTGTCTCGGGGCGGGGCCGCTGCCGCTCGCTTCGACCCAGCTGACGCGCCGCCTGACCAACCAGCCACGCCCAGCTCCGCCGCTCGCCATTAGCCGCCGCCATCCCGCCCCCGTCCGCACCGCCCCCGGCGGCACGTGGCTCCGCCCGGGCGCCACGCCATTGCTGCGCACCGTCCTCCGCCGCTCCTTCAATTGGCTGACGCACGCCCGCAGAGCCTGATTGGGCAGCATCCCGGCCAGGGCCCCTCCCGGCCCCGCCCATGGCGCCTCACGGCAATGGCCCCTCACAGCCCCGGCCCCGGCCGAACGCGGGGATCAAACCGAGCGGCGCGTAAGAATCCTCAGGAATGCGTGAAAACGTGCACGTCTCCTCGCCTCTTCTCAACACAAATACATTTATCCTGGCAGTGAGATCGGCGGGTTCGAGCGGGAGCGAGGGGGCCACGCACACAGAGCCTTCATCGGATCGGCCCCTCGTGGAAATGATCCTTCATTCCCGGAGCAGGGAAAGCTTCCAACAGCACCAGTTCCTGCTGCAAGCACAGCTCTCGACTTTGTCACGTTCTGCGTTACTTCTAGTGGCAGTGCTCTAGAGGGAGTGGTTCCTTGGGCACCTGTAACTCCTGTACCTGGAGCCCACTGGCGTGAGCACCAGCCCCTCGTGCCTCGGCAGGAACAGCTGCAGCCGTCCAACTGCAAAAGCTGCCCGATTATCCACAAACAGTATTCCAGAGCTTGCAAAGACTTCACTTGAGGGATCGTGTCTTGGAATGCCCAACCCACTGCTGAGTTAGTGTTCACAGAATCATGGAATAGTTTGGGTTGAGGGACCTTATCGCTAGTCTCGTTCCACGCCCCTTCCACTAGACCAGGCTGATCATAAGACTTAGTGTTCAAAAAACCCCAAATGTCAGAAGGATGGATACCCCAGCCCATCACTTACACAAGTTGTCATCAACACCAGAACATTAAAACTAAGCATCCTCCTCTCATCCCAGCTGCATGGAGCCCTCTGCACACGGAGGCTGGAATTAATCCAAACTCATCCTCTGCAATGCCTCACTGACAGTTCCAGGCTTCAGCAATTGTCAAAGCGCTCTTTGGAACACTGTGGTTTCTCAGCAGCTCTGAGTTTCTAATATTCTGTGGAACACACATATTTCCTTAATGCCTCAAGACAACTCTGACAGGCTTTAGAAAGTGTCACAAGAACATTGTGTTACCAAGAAAGGTTTTATTCTTTTTGCCAGTAGCTTTGTTAATTGCACCAAAAAAAAAAAAACAAAACAAAACAAAAAACCAACAAACAAAAAAACCTCTGTTTTGCCATTTAAACATTTTCACACATCCTATTCTGAATGACAAATATTAATTAAAAACAAGGCAAGAAAATAAAAATTCACAACCTTAATGAACTATAGGATCTATCATCGAGGAAAAAGGAAGTTGCTTTTCTTACAAGCTTTTCACAAGTGTCACATTTTCTCTTTAAAAAGGAGGGAGTCAAAAGAAAGCAAATTGCTAAAACAAATCCTCATAAAAAGAAACTTTACAGAATTGTCAACAATATTAAGACAACATTGACTAGCTAGTTTTATTAGAGCATCTCTCAATCCACTGCTTCCCCCACTCCCCTCCCCCAAATCTCAGGTCTAGGAAACATTGAGATCCATGTTCAGAAGCCACAGACATAAATACAAGAATCCGACTGAGACTGACAGCAATCTCAACTGGCATCTGGAACAGTCTGGTTTTCCCCACTTCCATCCCTCCTCCTCACTTCACAGCCACATCAAAGCTCTTGGTCTCCTTCTGCTCCTCCCTGGCACACCTGTGACTGTACAGCTGGCCAGGCAGCACCAAAGCCACTCTACAGCCACTCTCACTGGACATCAGCTCAAAGCTGCAGTCAGACCTTCCCAGGACAAATTACAGTGTTGAATTAGTCCGTACCCACCACTCCCACAAAAATAATCATCTCCATTCTGGGAACTGCAGTATTTCTGGAAAACAAACCCTGCAGTAGTGAGCTGCCTAGGGACCGGTTCTTGGAATTCACTATGAAACATCTGTCACAGGACTTGAGAGCTCCTTTTGCATTCTCACTGTATCCAGAGGCACCACAAAGTAACAGAGAAGAAGATCCTCCATTACCTTTGCTCAGACCCATTCACCTTCACTCTGGCCCAAAAGGGCAGGGACACATAGGGGATGCTGCTGCACTGGCTCGGCACAGTTCACTCTCAATTGCACCTGAGACAGTACCTCCCTCTTCCTTGCAAAAATTTTCCACTCTAAAATCTGTAGTCTCATCTCCTACCTGCAAACCCACAATTTCCCCCAGATGCCCTCAACGCATAATCCGTTTGAGTGATTTCCTAACTGTGGCATGTTTAACCAAGGACTTCAGGTGCTAAACAGCGGAGATGTGGATGGGGAAGCGCAGTGTGTCAAAGCAGGTCAATGGCTGCTTATCCTGGGCACATTTCTGTGCCTTTTAACATGAATACCTACATGCAGGACGGCAGCGGCACTGCCAAAGGAACACGGATGTACAACTAGCATCGCTCACACACACTGACCAACGGGCAGTGAGGTCTGACAGCTCTGTTGCCAGGTGTTCACCATAGGACATAAGTAATGCAGAACACAGCATGAGCCCAAAAAGAACAGAGATCACAGGAGGT